AGCAAGACCTACGAATTTTCCAATCTTCTTCTTGTTTCAATTCTGTGGTCTATCGTTCCTGTCTTGTCTTTTTAATAAAGAAAAATAGAATTTCATTGCTTCAATATCCATAAATTTAAGAGTGATAGAACACAATTTTTATTTATATTTTGGACTAAATTGGATATGGTAACAAGAATCAAGAAACTTATTTTTGTTATTTCCCTTCTACAAGTTTGAAATTCTTACGATTGAGTTGCCGAAAAGGAAAGTACACCTTGTTAGTATAGGTAGTAACTATCAATTCTTTTAAGCATTTTTTTAACCATGTTTCCATGGTCTTAAATCTTTCGCGACAACAGAGTTTACTATGATTTTAAGATAATATAATGGACTAATACAATACTCTCAAATTTAGAGGCTTCACCAAAAGCCACCCTAGCTTTTAGGAACTACTGTTGCAACATCACCGCAATGCGGAGAGGCTGACGTCATCCCTTGAAAAATCTCCTTCGAGATAAGGGTTGGAGTCGCCACCAATCATCTACGAGATGTAATTGGTTACCTATTTAAAAATTTTAGTCTATGAAAACAAATACTTTTTTTTTTGTTTGGGAGTCGATTGAGCGTAAGGAGATGTTAACGACATCCGTTCTAAAACGGTTACCAAATTTTGTAAGAAATTATCCTATTCTATTATTTGATGCAAAAGAAAATATTTTTATGTTTTTATTTAAATGTCTCATATTGTATTATTTCATATTATGAATTATTAATTATGAGTGGCACGAAGGCCATTAGGAAGAATATTGGAAGATTCCAATTTCCGTCATTCGAGTTTTTGAAATAATTATTTAGGAAAAAATGATAAAAAAAACAATAGTAACAATTTTTATTTGAGGCACAAAGGACTCAGACCTAAATTAGGAATATTGTTAACACCCAAGTCCCTTGTCACCGTGCCAACACTTTAGGTGCAAACTAAATTTCCTTTTTAAAAAACTAAATTTTTATTTTCGAACATTGTTTTGAAAAAAAAAGAAAAACTCTATCTAAACGAAATATTTTATTTAAAAAAACAATATTAAAACGTTTTACTACTTTCCGACTTGAAATTCATTTATTTTTGAAATAAAAGAAAAAAAAACTTTCACTTTAAAAGATCTTTATTTAGGGAGAAAAAAATTTACTTTTGAGAAATCATTTATTTTAAAATAAAATTTTTTATTTATTTTGCATTTTAAAAGAGGCTTTAAAACTTTAAACAAATTATCTCCTTTTAAGACCTAACCCTATTTATCAAAAACATATTTAAACCTTATTAATAGATTTCTTAGAAAAGAAAGAAGGAAAAAGGTTGGTTTCTTTTTACCAAAAAATAAATAAATAATTTCTTGATGCTATCGAAGGAAAATTTCTTTTATTTAGAAACTTGAGGACCCACATTTACTTACAAAAATAATAAACTAAAATAAATTAAAATAAAATTAAAATTATGTCAGATTAAATACGATGTCTACAACTATGACAATAGAATTTTGGGAAACAAGAATAATAAAAAACCTCATAAAATACACACGAGAATAGATTATCGATTTCACTCTACAAGCCTAGGATCTCGCCTATGAAACGTTGTGCCAAACACGGCTATCACGCCTCATAACAATGCACCAACTCCTGTTCACGATCGTCCCTTAATGTGTGCAACAACACTCATAAAACAAAATTACCTCATTAAAAAGAACAATTATAAATGAAAATTGCCGTCACTACGAATTTTGTAGCAAAGAACCAACATCCGCCCACCTCATTCTTTTACCTTTAATTTTTGTAGCGTCGAGACGCTATGTACCACGTCAAGACGCTGTCCATTCGGCAAGCTTGGTTCCTGCAGTGCCTAAATCCGTTTTTCATCCTTTCTTCAATTCCTTCATCTTCCCAACTTGTTCCGACGTGGTTTGACTCCATAATCCCAACACAAAGTATATCAATTTTTACTCTAAATACTTTCAATTTCATTAAATTGTACCTTAAACATGGCATGTCTTGCAATCTTTACATTTTACCCCTCTCTTGTTTTTAAATGAAATTGCAATCTTTACCTTAAAATTGGATAAATATTGTAATTTTTACCTTATAATAAATTTTTATTTAAATAATCATTAAAAATAGTATTCTCATCTGTGTTTAATGAATTATAAAACATATGTTTGGTAGAAGAGTTAAATTCTTTTATTAAAATTTACGAGTTTTAACAAATTTATTTAATGGTCAATTTTGTACCTCGATAAAACTTAATTCTAATTCTTCGCAAAGCTTGATTTCTTTGAATGCTGCGAGTTCTTAAGATTTCTATATTGCTTGTTATTAGTGGTTGGATGAACATAAATTAGATAAAGATAAATATTACATTATTTTTTAGTTTAGGATTTAATTCAATGAAATTCAAATTTCATATGGGTAAAATTTTTCTATAACATGGAATGGGTTGGATCGAATCTCCTCCTTACATATACATATATATAGCGAGTTCAAACAACAAATGGAGGTGAAATTTAAGGGCTCTTTTGATGATCATTTTGTTTTTTGTTTTGGTGGTTGGTTTTTAGTTTTTCAAAATTTGATAACTAATTCAATCTCCTGTTTTTTGTTTTTCAAAAACGAATTTGAAATTCTAGGTAAATTTCAGGAAAAAAAATAGTTTTCAAAAATAGGTTTTTTTTTTTTTTTAAATCTCAATTTTCTTCTAATACTCAACTTTTTTTTTTCTTTTCTCATATTTATCTCTAAAAAAATTATTTTTCACTTTAATTTTGTTTATTTATAAATTTCTCTCTACAAACTTTATTTTTCTTTTTCTAAAATTTTCATATTTTGAATATTTATTGCTATTGGTTTCTCTCTAAATTTTTATGTATTTTTAAACATACCAGTTTCATTTCTCTCTCTAAAAATTTAATATTTTTCCTAACTTTTTTCTCTATAAAATTTCATATTTTATAACTTTTCTTTCTCTTCGTAATCTATTTTTTCTCTAAAAATTATATTTTATTTTCTCGTTTAATTTTCTTTAAGTTTTATTTGTCTTTGTATTTATTTATTTTCTATGAAAATTATATTTTGAATCTTGTTTTTATCTCTAAATTTGTTTCCACTATAATTTTTCTCTCTGTTTATATCTTTATTTTTTTCTCCAAAAATTTGCTCGTTTTGTCTTTAACTTAAATTATAAAATAATTTAAAACAATTATAAAACCCATAATTTTTCTCGAGAACATCTCTCAGACCCAAGAACGAGGTGGAGACGGAAACTAAAAATTTTCACGAGCCCGAGAATGAGGGAGAACATCCTCACTCGCACCCACACCATTGTCATCTGTAGTCTACATAAAATTTTCTCTCTATAATATGTATTTTCAATTTTCTAACTTTTTCAAACCTAAAAACTAAAAATGGTTACCAAACATGTTTTATGGTTTTTGTTTTTTAAAAACAGAAAACCAAAAACCAAAAACTAAAAACAAGAAAATCAAAAAGTAAAATGTTTATCACACGGACCTTAAATTTTTTATTTTTGAGTTTTATTAGATGATATATATTTTAACCAATAATTTAGTTGGTTTTTATATATTTTCTTATAATTAGGATCTAAAACGTGTAGACATTTTTTTAGTTGGACACCTCAACTTTTGAATTTACAAAATATTTAGTGAAATGCAATGATTGAGGATGCGCACCAAAAGTTTGACTAAATGTAAACAAATAACATGTTGTTGGCTTATAAGATATTATTTACCATGTTTGTTCTAACTGAGATATGGAAACCTTTATGGCCAAAATTTTGAAAAGAAAAATATTTTCTCTCCTTTTGAAAAAATCCAGAGCTATCAAACTTTTAATAATAGTTGTGACCATACCAAACTCATATTCATAGCAATATAAATTACACAACCCCAAGAAAATGTAAAAAGAAATAAAAAATCTGATCCCACATCCGACATGTGCAGTTTGCAGCTTTAATGTACAAAGATATGAAAAAAGGGATTTTTAAAATATATTCTTTTCATCAACTTTTGAGATTATATCTATGGAGTCTCAAATATTTTTATTTTCTAAATCGTAAAAGCAAGATTTCAAACATTCGACTTAAAAAAAAAAAAAAAAACCACCAATTGATCTACACTCAATTTGACCTTTAACTACTCCATTACAATGTCTGCATAGAGAGATAAATGTTCAACTAACAAACTTATTAGATATGTTTTGGAAGAAAAACTTATTAGATAATTTTTAGAGTAAATTAATAGTAACGTTCAAGCAGGATTCTGCTAAGCTATCGAAATAGCCACATGGCAACTTAGATGAGATGATGAGGTGTGGCCTTAAGTTTCAAGGTAGGACCTGCAAAAGGAACAAACACTTCGACACTCAAGTGATCGGTATGACAAGAGATGAGTAGATTATTCTCATAGCAGAATTGTGTACCTGACTGAGTGACCAATTGCCCCTTTTATAGGCAGTGGGGGGTGGATAAGGCTGTTTGAACCGTTCTAACCGGCGGTTACGAGTTGTTGAACCCCAAGTCGATTGTTAGACCTGAGGTCGGAATCCCCAGGTCGGTTGAAGAGAAATTAGTTGATTCTCCAATTGGTTTTATGGTCTTCAGCTCGATCCCAAGAGTACTAAGTTGATCTTTTGCGTTAAGTTAGTTGGACGGATCTGACGATACCGAGCTGACTTGGTTGGTACACGTGTCATGTTGTACTTTTTCACTCCAACAATATGGACAAAACTTTAAAATTTCAAATATTTTTTATACTATTTGAAAAAGTTTAAATTCCATCTCCATCCTTTCTAGTCCCTATGGTTTTAAAAGTACCAAAATTAAATAGAAATAGAAATATGAAAATAAATCAAAACAAAAAAGTAGGGTACCAAAATAATAAGAAAAGAGTAGTGAAAATAAGTGATTATAAATTAAAGGGGTTTGTGTGATTTGGCTTTGAGAAATCCCACTTTTGCTTCGTAGGAAAGCTCGAGGGAGGAGAAAAAATAATTATAAATTGACTCTCTCTCTCTCGTTTTTTGGCATTGGCAAAAGGGCGGCCTTTTTGGGTTTGCCAATAATGAATTGCAGAATTGATTCCCCATTCTCATTTGATGTGGTAGATGACCTATTCCCTCTCCCTCCTCTTTCCTGCATGGATATCCCTCTCCCTCAGCTGCCCTCCGTCGTCTCTCGCCCCGCCGCCGCCCTAAAGCCCAAAAACTGCCGCCGTCGAAAACCGCCACCCGTCTCCTCCGACCACAGCAACCCCAATGAGCACAAAAAGAGAAAGATCATCCACAGAGACGTGGAGCGCCAAAGAAGGCAAGAAATGTCCACTCTTTACGCCACTCTTCGCTCCCTCCTTCCCTTTGAATATCTCAAGGTAGACTTTCGTAGCTTGTAGTTTAACTCAATTTCGGTGTTACACCGACCTTTATGAAATAATTGACAACTAAAATAATGAAGTGCGTCCATCCGAGAGATGACACAGGAGTAAGGATTTGGAGTTTCGTGGTATCACCTACCAAAAAAATTTTTTGTTTTAAACCTACATTGTTGGGACATCAATTTCGAGAAATAAAAAAACAAAATCAAAGTAGATTTTTTCCGTGTTCATTAATATTCATGGATGTCCATTTCACTCATCAATTTTATTCGGATCCCATTTTTAGACCGCATGCTCAAGTTTTGTGCTCTGATACAATGTCTATTATAAATTCATGTTAGATCCTTATCTTATTCATGTGAGATCTTTAACGGTTATAATGATCAATTTGGCCGCAATTCTTTTTGGACAGGGAAAACGGTCGATATGCGATCACATGCACGAAACGGTGAAGTACATACGGCATATGCAGAGGCAGGTTCAAGAGCTGTCCGACAAGAGAGAGGAGCTGAAGAAACTTTCCGGCGAGGATTCCGACGCCGGCACGGCGGAGACACTGAGTGCCTCAAAAAGGGACTCCGTGGCGGTGAGGCCGAGAGGGGAAGGGGTCCAAGTCGTTTTGGATACGGGCACCCAACACAGGCTGCCCGTTTCCAACATTCTAGAAGCTTTACTCGCCGTAGGCCTCGAAATCGTCGGCTGCATTTCCACCAAAATAAACGACAGGTTCCTTCACACCATCGAAGCCGTGCCCGACGGTAGCCTCCGAAACATCGACGTGTCGGAACTCCACCATAAATTGACCAACTTGGAATATTTTCCATTGGATTAATTAGGGGTTTTTTTTTTATTATTTTTTTTTAATAATGGGAGATGTGTTGTTGGATTTTCTTGAATCATGAATAATGGCTGTCGAATAATTTGAGTACTAATGTTTTTCTTTTTTTTTTCCTTTTTCTGTTTATGTTTTGTACTATTGAATGCAATGAAGTTAATTAAGATGATGGATCAAATCAGGCATTAATGGCGGATGACGTGGTAGCTTTTATCTCTGTGGGAGCAGGTTGCCAAATAATTAGCTTGGCAAAGTATTAATTCATTCTTTTATGTCTGCTACTTTTTCCCAAGGTCTTGTCATGTAATCAAATCCAATCAAAACTCAAACTTTATCTCATGCTTTTACAGTTTGCTCACTCTCCGGTGCAAAAATTTCAAAAGCAAAAATAATATATTAACTAATGATTTTTTCAATTGGTAAAGGGAGTCATTGGGTAAGGATCCATGTTGCGATCCAAATCGCTGATATAAATGTTTATGATATACATGAACTATTTTTCTCTTATTTAATTGATTTTGAGATAGAATCTCATGTATCATGATATACTGAGATACACAAACTATACATATGAGACTTCATAATTTATGAAATTAACTTTGATTATTTTTATTAAAAAAAGAAGAAAAAGAAGAAGAAACTTTCCCAACAAAGATCAAATCCTTAATTATTATTGTGGTTGAAATTCAGTGGCTCTGTGATACATATGTTATTTTATTTTGAAAAAAAGATCTTGGGTAAACACCTTTGGCTATACACTTGGTTACCTTCCATCAGGACAGCTCAAGATGGTACAGAACTTTAGACAAAAACTATGATGGAGAGGTCTTAATATATAAAATATCATTTAAAATTTATTTTTCTTAGTTTTTGAGGGGTAGAATTATATATTAAATTTTGATCATCTAAGTTTATTGATATATCATTACCAATCCATTTAATCTTCCTTGTGACATAATTGACCTTAAATACAATTAATTTTAATTTTGAAAAGCTTCAACAATTGTTGTCGGTATTGTTAATAATATTCTATAAGCAATATACACGTAAAAGTATTTATTATTTTTTTGTATAATTTAATATTTTTTTAATAAGATGGACAATTTCATTTTGCAAGACTTTTCTTAATATTTTTAATTCAAAAAATAAATCTAAACCGCTAATATCACAAAATGTATCATCTTTTAATATATTTTCAAGATTAATACCATATCTTTTCAGATTATCATCATCTAATCACTTTAAAAATTTCCTATCAAATAAGAAGTTAAAAGATATTTTCATATATGTGAAATTGTTCAAATCTATTTTGAAGTAATAAATTGCTTAATCTATAATATAGTAAAAATAATCAATTCTAAAAGAATCTTGCGGTGATCATGTTTCTTTAATATCAGCATTCTTATCAATTTTTTTAATTGCTCTTTTTTCACGAAATATATTTCCATAACATTTGCAATTTCCTTAGCCAAAATCATGTGAATCCATTTTCTCTATGCTTCCTCTCTAATTTTTTTCCATGATTAGATGCTTCATTTTCAACAATCATATCATTATCTACTTTTTTTTGATCTCTTGATTTGTCTATATCTATCATTTCTTCTATTATTTCGTCATTTTATTATTTTTACTTTCAATAACAAATTTATCGATAGCATTTTTTTGATATTCAATAAGTTTTTCTACTCTTATTTTCTTTTAAGCTTTTCATATCAAGATTCATGTATTTTTAGATATTCCATTCTAAGTAAGCAAATTTAAACAAATCTCAGATATTAGGTTTTGAACAATCAACAATATGAAATAATTTATAAAAAAAATGTAAAAGAATTTGAACGAAAAACCTGGAATTTTGAAGCCGTTAGGTTGAGTTGAGGAAATAAGAAACTTTGATTTTTATTATAGCAATAGAAATATTGTAAGACCATATAGAAGATCAAGATGAAAATGTGAGTTTTCAAACAGATTGAGAGTAGGGGAGGGGGATAGTTCTGACAGAGAGAGGTCAAAATATGGAAGGTCTCCACACTCCCAAAGTAAACTTGGGAGGATTGGGAGAATTATGAGGAGCTTATATGAATGAGTTGAAATTTTTTTTCGAAATTTGTAAGAAACATGAACAAATAGATTAAGGTTAACTAATTTGAAAGATAATGTAATCAAAATGGAGAGAAATTTATGAGCCTATTAATTGTTGACTTTTTTAATAGTGTGTATTTTCAATATTTTAAAAAGATATATGAAAAATAATAAGTAAATTATTTTATATTTTACATTTAATTTATAATTAAAAACTGAATTAAATAGATATCAATATTATATATTATAAAAGAAATATGAGACATTCCTAAAATGGAGAACTTATATGTTCGTCTTGCTCGTAAAATGAAGAACTTATATGTTCGTCTTGCTCGTAAGTAGTTTAAGCCGACTTTACCTCCTATTTTCTCTCAAGAAAGTATTAATGAGATTTATTTATTGATTAAATATAATATAAAGAAATAGAGATTAGATGGTGCTCTTCCTTATTAATTATTGTGGAGTTAGGTATTTAAAAAATGATTGTGGAGTTAAGTATTTAAAAAATGGTTACTGAAAATCAAGCGGCAATATTATTTGAGTGTATATTCTAGAAACTATTTTTCAAAAAAAAAAATCTGAAAAATGTACTCCTATATTTTACTTATTTTCAGATACTTTATGTCCTTGTCAACAAAAAAGAAAAAAAAGACCCTGCCTGAATTATTTTGTATGCTAATGGATCCAAACTTTCCCGTGAATAAGTGACCTTTTTTTTTTAATTTTTTTAAAAGGTAAATATATTAAAAAGGAGGATGTCATAGTGCGAGATCAAGGCACAACATCCAAAAGGTAAATAAGAAAATCAAGAAAACAAATCCTATGTCGAGATAATCATAGGATCGTGGCTCAAACAACAACTCTCAGGTCAGGTAGTACAACGATAATAGACCTCAGTTTTCAAGACGCGCAAAAGGACACAAGGTGACCGACCCACCCCACCCGCATGAACCCTAGCATTACGCTCCCTCCAAATAAACGAACAGCTGAAGTTCGAGATCAAACGCCACACACGACAACGAGCATACTTTTCAGCACTAATGTGACAAATCCAAGCAAGCTCAATAGAGCAATATGATACTCGATGAGAAGAACCAGTCAAAGCAATCATATCATACCAGACCTCCCAACTAAAGGGACACTCAAAGAAAAAGATGGTCCATGGACACCATGCTAGCACAAAACACACAGGAAGTAGGAAGAGAAGAGTCCCAACGACACAAACGATCTCTTGTAGCAAGCCAATCACGCACTGCCAACCAAGAAATGAAGGAATGCTTCGAAATGTTCCACTAAACAAAACCAAAGAAAACCAAGGAAAGGATACGGGCCGGTCGCAACACACCCCACACACTCGACAAAGAGAAGAGACCCAATGGCGTCGGAATCCAGATGGACACATCATCCCTCCCAATAAAAAACCGGCACAGATGAAATCTCAGAGACTAGCGACCAAAGATCATCTGACCCTCAAGGCCAGCGCAACGAATCATCGGGAACCAGAAAATAAGCAAACTTTCGCCTAGGGCTAGCTGGCAGCATCCACGATAATCTTGTCACCAAACCTTGGATAAATCAGAACTCCTGGAAGTCAAGTATCATGTCACACAAAACAACGCTGACCATCTCCAATAGCAAGAGGCCGAAATGCATCCCGAATATAAAGAATATCCCGCCAACACCAAGAGAACTGAGGTGAAGCACGAACAGTCCAAATACAATCTCTTGGGTGTATCCTTTCACATCATTGGTTTATATTTTAACTCATATCTAAGTGTTATTACCTATTGACAAATTAAGATAAGCAACACATATTTTATTAGTCGTCCATGTAATCAATCCATGAATAAAATTCTCAAATTTTCTAAACAACTTGTGCTTTTTCCAAGTGACCTATCACTTGCCACCTCCACTCAATGTTTCTAACAACTTGTGTTTTTTCCAAATGGTAGTGGAGTGGTCCCAAAGGGAAAAATGATATAATAATATATATTTAAATACTGACGGACAGTAGATATATTCCATCATAATCCAAAAGTTTGACAATTGTTTAATATTTTTTATAAAGGAAAAAATATCTATTCTCTACCTTTCTTTATATCATAAATAGTATAGTAGTGGTAGGGAGGAGATATCTACTGGCCCATCAATATTATTTTATATAAATTTTGGATACGGCTGCATTTTATGAAATAATGATATAATTCATCTTTATTCATTCATTTATTTATAAATATATATAAGTTTATGGGCTCTTGGAGATGATGTGAGGAAATTTTTGCAGTATAAATATTATTAATATTAACCACATTTGTCAAAGTAGATATAGTTTAGCGATAATTTACATATATCTCAAATTAAAAAATTGTGTTATAATATTTAACTAACCTAACAAATGTATAGCAATGTTTACCTTAAAAGTTTAATTATAGTTAAAAATATATCATTTTATGTATTGAATGAATTATCAAATATATGTCAAGTACAAAATTGGTAGGATTTGAAAGAAAAACTCATAATTTTTGTTTGACATTTGTGAGATTCATGAGAAATTATTCTTATGAAATTTAATTTTTTTTCCAAGCTTTATTTCATTGAAAATAGTAAAATTTTAGAGATTTTTTACCATATTTTTCGTCAAAAATTAGTAAATCTTTTTTTTTTAAATGACAATTGTAACAATTTGTTAAAGGACAACCGTACCAACAGTTACGATATTATCCGATGTGGACATAATCCTCACCTCTTTGCTTTTGATTTGATCTAAAAGACTTCATGACAATAGAAATAATTATCATTTCTTATATACGGTAGATTACTTCCTTCCCTAGTTAATATGAAACTTTGTATACACTCTTTTTACAAATCCAACATAATTACCTATCTAGTCTAAGTCTAGACTCTAATTTACTGCGATTAAAATTTGACATGGAAATGATACATACACATGGGTAAAAAGATTGATTCTTTTTTCCCTTAAAAAGAATGGTAAGGGTACAATATCAATAATTGCATGCATCACTGTTCTGCAAGCAATAGCCGTCACCCACTTTTATGATTGTCTTTATTTTTCTTTCTTTTGGCTGTTTTCAAATTGTC